AGGTGGGCGCGGCCTGGGTGGGTCGTGGATGGGTCGCGGGTTGGGTCGTTGGTGGGTCGCGGGTGGGTCGCGGGTTGGTGGGTCGCGGCGGGGTCGCGGGGTGGGTCGCGGGTGGGTCGCAGGTGGTTCGCGGGTGGGTCGCGGGGTGGGGCGCGGGTCGGGTCGCGAGTGGGACGCGGGGTGCGTCGCGGGTAGGTCGCAGCGGGGTCGTGGGTGGGTCGTGGGTTGGTCGCGGGTGGGTCGCGGGTGGTTCGCGAGCGGGATGCGGGTGGGTCGCGGCCGGGTCGTGAGTGTGACGATGACAACAACGGCAAACAACAATCACCAAACAATAAAATCAACAACAGCATCAACAACAAACATTTTAAGATTGATCGTTATTTTCTGCTTGCGTCCCATTCAGCATGTATATCCCAAACCCTCGGTACCCGCCCTCTTCGTCTTCGATCGCCCCCCCTTTGGGGGTATGTCTTCCTTACCTGCCACATGCAATTCGCGCAGGCCCTGAAGGGTGTACGTAGATAGGGCCTCAAAAGGGCAGCGATGGGGCCAATGAGGGCAGCAATGGGGCAACGAAGGGCAGCAGAAGGGCCACAAAGGGCGACACGAAAGGAAGCAATGGGGCCACGAGGGGCGTGGGCGAGCGCGATGGCCCAGTGATTCATAAGAAAGTCCAAAGCGAGACGTAATTCATGTCGAGGTGCGGCGTCTGAATACACTGCGAGGAAGTCCCAAGCGAGAGCGCGATTCTTGAGTGAATCTCAAGGACGTCTCCAGCGAAAGCGCGATTTCTCAATAAATGGTCAGGAAGTATCAGGCAGAAACCGTTGTTTCTGTAAACCGGGAGCCAACAAACCAGCTTGGTGACACCCAGCCTTTCTTTGTAAAAGAACAGAGCGCGAACCCCAGGAGGAGCACTTCAATTGAAAATGCAATGGTTACCGGAAGGGGAGATCAACAATCATGCTTTCTGGTATTTTCAGAAATGAGGATTCGACAACGCAGCAACCATCCGCATTGCCCGGTCCCCTGTTCAGCCACGCATACAGGGACAGTGAATGACCTTTCGGCCCCTTTATCTGATGAGTAGGTAAACGCACAGGATTCGAGCCTCAGCCGAGGGACAATATTTCAGAACGTAGGTGAAACACAAGGGACTCGAGCCCCAGGAGAGGAGAACTCTTTTGGAACAGACGTAAACACAAAGGAGTTTAGCCCCATGCGAAGGGCGACGAAGCCTATGAGGGCGAATCCTGCGGGGGGGGGGGGGAAGCACTCCGCGAACACATATTCCAATGCAGAAAAGTGCCTCCTGGGGCCTCCTGGGGCTGGGGGGCCGAAAAGCGCTCCCCGAACAACCCGAGACAGACAAGTGCCTCTTGGGGCCTCCTGGGGGCGGAGGGGTCGAATCCCGAAAAGCGCTCCCCGAACACATGTTTTCCGTCGGCGGCGAGGCAGAGGTGGTGCGCCACAGCGTGTGGAAATTCGGCGCATCCGAATGGCTAATTGGCTGGCATGCACTCCCCGAACATACATCCTAATACAGAAACGTGCTTCCTGGGGCCTTCTGTGGGCGGGAGGGCCGAAACACGCTCCGCGAACAGATATCCCTGGAATTTCCTGCGACCTCTGCAAGTAGTGGCAAGCCTGCTCTGACGGATCCCCTTGTGCTGCTGAGTTGGGGGGAAGTCTCAAGCGAAATGGCCGTTCCGGTATCCACAGCAGGAATGATACTCTGAATGATTTGTTTTCGAATGTTGAATTGCGAAGAAGTCTCCAGCGAGAAAGTTGTGGTGCTAACTTGCAGGAAAGTTTCCGGCGAGAGCGCCCTTCCTAAGGTTGGGGTCCTTTTTGGCCAGGGCTTCTCGGAGTGAATTGTGCGGAAGGGTCGCACGGGAGCGTTGTTGCTGCGGATAGAGGGGGCCCAACAACAGTTGTTTTCTTATCGTAGTTTATATTCAATGCGAATCAGCGCCGCGGACTTCTATTTCAACCACGCATCCAGTGACAGTGAATGACCGTGCGGCCCCCTCACGCCTGTAAGTAGATCGGGCGGGTCGTGGCTTCAAGGTGTTCGTTTGTTTTTTGTGTCAGCGATCTCACAAATCCCCGAGCTTCCCTTCAAAAAATTGGCCGCGCGCAATAGAAGGGAACTCGGGGATCACCCTTGGGGAGCTAATCGGACGCACCCGTATCGAGGATGGACGCTCTCCATCGCATGTAACGGAGCCCGTTTCCAAAGAATTAGTCTTGCCGAAAGTCCAACGATGTCTTGGATTGGGGTCGCCATGCCCCCGTTATGCTTTGCATGTTTGTATCAGAGCGCGCCCCAAGACGGTTCTAGGCGGCCGACTCTTCCGGTTCGCCGGTTCGTCATGAGGATCGTGCATGCCCAGGCGTAGGTTACATTATGGTTGCTTTGAGGTCGTTTTTGTTTGGGCCGCGGCAATAATGGATGCACCGCCGCCCGCGTGTGAGCGCATCTCTGCAACCGCGCGAATTCGGAACTGCGCAGGAAGATGACGATATTGACCCTGCCAGGCATTCGGGCACAAGCGAACGCTCTGAACCACGTCGAAACAGCATTATGGCCGCACTTGCTGACGCAGCGCTATGGTTTTCACAAACGCAACAACAGCACGAAACACTACGATGAAACTGTGTTAGGTCCGTGATTTGTTTCACACTGTTGCCTCATATATGGTGCTCTGCCGCCGCGGCGGGCGCCGCACACGGGAGTACCACACCGCTTACACCACACAGCTTGCACCGCGCACAGATTGCACCACGTTGCTTGCTGCGCGTACAGCTTGCACCACATAGTGTGCATTTTTCGGCCTACACCCCGAGTGCAAGAGCTGACAGTGCGGGGTAGCTTCGCCAAACGCCGCCCAACTGTCACGGACGAAGACGCCCAGCATGCCCAAGATGGTGTTGCCAGGCCGAGATTCGGGAATATTTGGGGTGTCCGAGTGTTTTGGGCTTCTAAGATTTTGCTGGACGACGTCGTGTTTGTTTTTTTGTTGCAACGTGGTCTCCCAGAGGTCTCGACCCCTTCCCCAGGATCAGCCAGTTTTTCATCCCGAGTCTTGTTTTGACGGCCCGGGGGCCTGGCGAGGACCTGGGACTTGCACATGCCGAATACGTCCAAAAACCTCACGTCGTGATCTCTTCACGACGCAAGGAGGTTCTGGGAGGGCGGGGGGGGGGGCTGAGGCGCAGGAGGAGCCGCAGCAGCCAGGGCAGGTGCGGGCAGGGAAGAGCGCCAGGTGGGCGCCTGGGTCCAGAATTTCGACCGCGAGAGCCCGAGCGGCCGCCGCCACGCACGCCCGCCGGCCCACGGCCAGTCCCCCTGCTCTGGACTCCCTGCTGCCCCCCTGCCGAGACCTGTGACTCGTGGGCGTCGGCCACGCGCAGGGAGGGGTCCGGGGGGAAGGGGGAAGGCTTCTCAGAAGCACCCCTGCTTCTCAGAAGGCGCAGGCCTTGTCTATGGATGCAGGGCCAGCGCCTTCTGAGAAGCTGCCTCCTTCTAAGAAGCCGTTCCCCCTTCACCCTGCCCCCCAATGCGCGCCGCCAAGTCTTTCCCACGCGGGCATCCTGAGGGCGGGCCCGTGGGGCCGCGACCTGCTCCGACGACGGCCTGTGTTTGTATTTTCCCTCCTGCCTTCCTTCCTCTGCTGATCCCGGTTCCGCTGCGGCCCTCCGCCCTTGCTCCGCTGGGTTATTTTCTGCAGTTCTTGGCTTTCCTGCTCACTCCCTCTCTCCCCCTCTCCATCTCTCTTTCTCTATCTCTCTATCTTCCTCGGCTTCTACCCTTCTCTGTCCTCTCTCTCTCTCTCTCTGTGTTTGTTGTTTTTTGGGGGTTCTCTCTCTCTCTCTCTATCTCCTCCTCTTTCCCTCCCTATATCGAAGACGCCTAGGGCGAATCACCGCTGCCCTTGCCTTTTGGAATCGCCCATGTGGCCAAACGTTGTGGCCAGAGCTATGCCAAGCTATCCGACCATGTGTTCTTGCAGCCGTTGTGGAACCCTTCAGGGAACACGCGGGGGAGAAAGCGAATACATGGGCCACTATCCGATGACATCGTGTTGAATGTGCTGCAGGGTCCGTTCAGGCCTTGCGGTAGAGGTCACGACACAGTGTGTCCACAGCCGTGGACCGATACGGTTTTTGTGGCAAGTTCGTATCAGTCGCACTTGGGTATCCTGCTTCGCGTGTCCCCCCCCGTGCCTGGGGCCATTCCAGGGTTTTAGCTTCACCGCCCTGCCGTCCACTTCGTTCGGGCGATGCCTCTGAGAATAGCCCTCCTGAGGGGCAGCGGGTGCCTGCTTGCCGTGGGCGCGCGAGTGGGCCCGCCCGCTCGCGGTGGACAGCACCTGCTCGCCAGAGGCAACGGCCGCCCTGACGGCGAATGGGCAGAACTTCGCTTCGGAGTTCCCCAGGAATTGGAAAGGAGGACGCATCCAATGCCCACGACTCGCCCGCGACATCGGCGTCTGGGCCATCGTCTTCCGAGCAGGCGTGCGCAGCCAGGACGGCGACCCAGCGGCGCACCTGCATCTCGTCGCATGCGCCATGGAGCACGGCGGCGAGACCGTGATGCGTTATTTTTTGAAGAAGGTCGCGTAGCAGCACGTCCTCCCATGTAGGATCATCGACGTTTGGCTGTGGGAGAACATCGCGGAGCATGTGACAATTGCGCGCCGCAGCGGGATGGGTGCTTTGTGTGCGGATTAACATCTCCATCATTGAGCTGCGCCACGTCGTATTAACAACAGCGCTGACCCACGGCAGGTCAGGGACCACCCCAGTGATCGATTCCGGTTTTTTTTTAAGCGGGAAGGGGAAAACCGTATTTCTTGGAGCCGTTGCATACGAAATTCGAGGGATTGTGGCTCAACCCGTCCCGGCCCGAGCCGCCCCGGCCGCGCGCGCCCGGCTCCCGGCCTCCCGCGCGCCCGGCTCCCGGCCTCCCGCGCGCCTGGCCCCGCTTTGCGCGCATGGCCGCATGTGACGCCACGGCAGGCGAGGTGGCGACACCGCCGCCGGCGAGGCTCGTGCGCTCGCCGCGGCGGCCGAGCACCTCGGAAGGGCCGAGGCGCGAGCCGCAGCACAAGCGGCGGCAGCCCGAGCCTCCGCTCGAGGGCTTGGCTCTGGACGAGGGCCTGGCGTTGTCCCCGTTGAAAACGGCGCGAACGCCGCTGCCATGCCCTCTTGCCGTGAGCCGCCGGCACCTGGCGCAGGTGGAGCTGCTGCTGGCGGAGACGCATGCTCGGGCGAGGCTGCGCTCGTCCAGTCCCTCGAAAGCACGGCTGCTGGAGGTGAAGACCGCGCTGCTTCAGGCCCGGCTGTTGGAGGCGAAGATCGGATGCACGAAGAGGGAGCTGCACAAGCTGCGAATCAGCCCGGCGACCAGCCTGGCGGCCAGCCCGGCGCCTTGCCTGGCTGCAGGCCGGGCCTCCAGTCCGGCCCCCAGCCCGACGAGCAGCCCGACGTCCACCCCGGCGTCCTGCCAGCTCGTGTCGCTGGTGCAGTACGCGGACGACGTGATCTGCACCTTCGCGATCCCGGCGCCGACGCCGGACCCAAGCGACGCCGAGAGTCACCAGCCGCCGTCAGTGGTCCCGGGGGAGGTGGAGGGGGTGGATTGGGACCCGGACCCCAGCGAGGCTTAAGACAGCCCGCCGCCGAGCGGGACGCCGACCTGTGCCAGACCAGCCGCAATCTTCGACCTCGCCGCGCTCGACCCGGTCCCGGAGCAGCACTTGCCGTTGTCATTCTTCCTCTTCGGAGAGGATTTGGTGGGGGCTTGGTACCACGATGCTCTGATTCCTGTTGGTTTAGTGGAAGTCTTCCAGCTGAATGATGACGGTTCGGATTCTGAGACGCCTGCCTCTGCACCTTCCCTGTTGGTCAGAGCGTGCGCCTTCCCCGGCTGCGCGCCCGGCGCCCCCGCCGGCGGCCAGCCCGGCGCCCTGCCCGAATGCCAGCCCAGCGCTCCGGCCGACGCTCAGCCCGGCGCCCTGCCCGGTCGGCCTGCCCGGCGCCCACGCCGCCACTTTGATGAACGCGAAGATTATAGAAAAACATATCGTCCTATAGATTTCTATAGGATCGTATCAACATATAGTGAAAATAATGAAGAAATTTAAAATAATGAAGCATAGTTAAAAATAGTGATAAATAGTAAAACATAATGAAAATAGTGAAAATATAGTAAATAGCGAAAAATAGTGAAAAATAATTAAAAGAAAGACAATGTGAAACAAAATATCCCGGCAGAGCAACCTAACAGCGATGTGTAGGAGCATATCTGGAAGCATTCCCCTTCATATTCAGATGATAATCCAGTTGTAGAATTTTGCTGTTCTCGCAGTCGTAGTCGCATTCGCGATGACAGTCGCAGTGGCAACGGCAGTCGCAGTCACAGCCTCAGCCTCAGCCTGCCTCAGCCTCAGCCTCAGCCTGCCTCAGCCTCAGCCTGCCTCAGCCTCAGCCTCCTCAGCCTGCTTCAGCCTCAGCCTCAGTCTGCCTTCAGCCTCGGCCTCAGCCTCAGCCTGCCTCAGCCTCAGCCTGCAGCCTCAGCCTCAGCCTGCCTCAGCATCAGCCTGCCTCAGCCTCAGCCTCAGCCTGCCTCAGCCTCAGCCTCAGTCTGCTTCAGCCTCAGCCTCAGTCTGCCTTCAGCCTCGGCCTCAGCCTCAGCCTGCCTCAGCCTCAGCCTGCCTCGGCCGCAGCATCAGCCTGCCTCAGCATTCAAAATGTGGCCCAGGAATGGAGTTCTGGGAACTAGAAGAACACGAGGTGGCGTACAGCTGGCTCCGGGCATTCAGAATCATGCCCAGGGGTTTTGGGAATTTGAAGAGCACGAAGTGGCCTACAGCTGGCTCCGGGCATTCAGAATGTGGCCCGGGAATGGAGTTCTGGGAACTCGAAGAGCACGAAGTGGCCTACAGCTGGCTCCGGGCATTCAAAATGTGGCCCGGGAATGAAGTTCTGGGAACTCGAAGACCACGAAGTGGCCTACAGTTGGCTCCGGGCATCCAAAATGCACGCCGGGAATGGTGTTCTGGGAACTCGAAGACCTGGCCTACAGTTGGTTCCGGGCATCCAGAATGTACGCCGGGAATGGAGTTCTAGCAGCGCCAAGAGCGATTTTGCGAGGATGTCCGAAGCGATTTGGGCTTCGACGGCAGCCGCGCCGGGTCCCGCCCCGGGCCCCGCCCCGACCCCCATGTTCTCTTTTGGGACCACTAGAAACCTATCAGTCTTCGCTGTTAGGTAATATTGAAAATATTCAAAAATAGTGACGATAACAAATAAGCAACAAGAATACAACATTTCATAAGCATGTAAGCGTAGCAAAGCGGACAGACCGCTGCAAACACGAATAAGCATGCAAGCGTAGCGAAGCGGACAGACCGCTGAAACATGAATAAGCATGCAAGCGTAGCAAAGCGGTCAGACCGCTGCAGACATGCACAGATACGAGCAAAACGGCCATTCCGCTGACGCTCGCGCGCGCGCGCGGCAAGTTTTTTTTCAGGCCTGCGGCGCCAGCGGCGCGTGCAAACCTCGCAGAGAGCGGAGCGCAGCCGCCTATTATAGGGAAGCCCATTCCAGACATGCATCGCGCGCAGGGACCTTGAAAAAATGAAGCAGAATCCTAATTCAGTCGGCGCCTCTGGAAGCGGTCCTGCGCCTGCAGAGAGGGGGGCGCACTGCCGCAAGAGAGTCCTAATTCAACCATGAACGCGAGTCGATCTTCAACAGCTGCTCGGAGCTTCCACTCGTGCTGCCCGCTGCAATGCTCACGAACTCGAGGAGGAATCGTCGATTCGGCGGCGCCCCAGCGCGCTGGGCGCACTGGAAACCACCGCGAACCCCAGCGCTGCTTCACCCACGCTGTCCCTGCATCAGCATTGAGGGTTTGGCAGAGCGAGCACCTCTTGTTGGCAAGCGTCATGGCCTAGAGGCGGCGCGGCAGGCGGATGAGCTGTCGAGGCGGCCCCGGAAATCAAACTTGGGCCCAAAAGCGATGCGGATTATTGTTGTTCCTGTTTGTTTCTGCATGCACAGCGGCGGCCTGGCCGCTCTAACTTTTGTTTTGAATCGCGCCCACAACGTTGCTTCCAATGGAAAAGGACGATGAGGATGATAATGGGAAAGAGGGGGTGAGAAGAGAGAAGAGGAGAAAGAGGAGACGAAGCAAGAGGAGGAGATAGCTTGGCAAAGCGGTCGCGCCGCTTCCGACAGCGATAGCGACGATGGTGATCGCGGTGGCGTGTGTGTGTGTGTGTGTGTGTGTGTGTGTGTGTGTGTGTGTGTGTGTGGGGGGTGTGTGGGTGTGTGTGTGTGTGTGTGTGTGTGTGTGTGTGTGTGTGTGTGTGTGTGTGTGTGTGTGTGTGTGTGTGTGTGTGTGTGTTTTTTTTTTTTTTTTTTTTTTTTTTTTTTTTTTTTTTTTTTTTTTTTTTTTTTTTTTTTTTTTTTTTTTCTCTTATTTTTCCTTCTTCTTCTTCTTCTTCTCCTCTTCTTCCTTTCTTCGCGCTGGCCCTGCAATGACATCGGCGCTCTAGACCAGCAGTTCGGAAGAAACGTCGCAATCGGTGCATGTGCCATATCAACAAGTAGGAACGCTCCAGGACCCTCCTCTGTCCACAGCGCCTGTGGTTTGTAAATTTCGCAACGCAGAGGCCGAGGGGCGCCGTCCTTTCGCCAGCGTGAGGCGCTGGGGGATACCCGACAAACAAACTGCAAAGCGTGGGCAATCAACACCACGGTGCCGCCTTCTTCAGCCCCGCCGATGATAGAATGACGCCAGCCACCAAAGTGAATTATATCTCCAGCTTTGACGCGAGATCCTCCAATAACGACCATCGTCGAAATGCTCATGACTTCGTTGTACCTGACGCTGTTCACCAAGCCATATCCAAATGACAACTGCTTCTCCTTTGCATTGTAGCAGCGAAGAGCAACACATCGTATCAAACGTGATTTCTCAAAGGCGCGGGCGTTGTCGATGTTATCAGCGACAGCCAATGATTTTTTGTGGCACCGCTCGGTTACCAGCGTGTCCAGGGCGAAGCCATCCCTCACAACCTGCCGCGGCAAGTGTCGGCAGAAATGGAATTTGGGCATGCGCATGCCGCAATCCCCGCGCGCGCGTTCGAACGGTAGGGCGTGGTCGCGCAGAGCCACAGCCCAATCATCTGCCTGAGCAGGGCCCCTCTTTGCGTCTAAATATGACGAAACACATTTGGCCAGCGCTGTAAAATGCGCCATTTCCTTTGCAAAGTTTGCCTTGAACTGCGCGCTTCCATCGGTGAGTACATCCAGGGCGCATCGAATTAACGGCAGGGCCGGTATTATATCATCCGCCTCAGCGGTGTACTTTTTTGCTCTTGCGCAAATGCTTCTGTCGCTCATCGCTGAAAAGTCTGTTTGCGTCAAGCGGCCCACATGCCGAGCCGGTCTTCCACTGCGCGTTGCCGACGTCCCTGAGTGTGTCCAAAGTCAGGCCGACGGCAGCAAGGCGGCACAGCATCTCGCTCAGTTCAATCTGCGCGATCCCATTGATGATCATGCCGTGTGCTGGATCGCACGCGTGCATGTCCAGCGACGCGTGCTGGCGAAGTTCAGTGTCAAATAGCAAACCATCTGGCACGTGATTAATGCCGTTCATCTTGCATTGCTCATCGAATGCGCCCGTGGGTAAAGTTTCCTTCGAACGCTGCAGTAGATCAGCGCTAAACCACAAATCGTCTGCGCTGCGCGCGCCGATCCGATTCGGGTCAGCGCAAGAAATGGGTGCCAATGTTCCCGTCGTGTCGAACGCTGAGAGCAGGGTCTCCGTTGAATCGCATACACCGTGGACATTCTTGCACAACGCGCATAAAACAACGCCAGCCGCACCCTTTAAACGCAATGCATTTTTATCGCCATCTTCGTCATGAAGTAGGTTCCACTTTTTAGAAAATATCAGCGCAGGGGCACCGCCAGGCCCAATGCCATCAAGGAGGGCGCCCCTCTGCGACGCGCTGCCTGGGCCAATGCATAGTCGCCGCAATAGTTGGCGAACAACTGCAGACATCTTACCACGTACCTTATCGACCATCGTATGCCGCATGAATGCGAGTGGAAACCACGCATCCTCAGATGTCAACGCAGCGGGGCCGAACGTGCGGAAGCTTGCATAAAACGCCAACATCTCGCGCTTGTTATCTTGCCTCAATACATTCCCGGGCGCAAACTCGTCGAAATATAAAACAAAATCCCAAGGTGTGAAAGGGGGGCACGGGCTATTGCTGAAAGTTCTCGACATCAAGCGTTTAAAGTTTTCCCAGTCTGAAGCGCAGTGCTGACGCAGACTGACAAGGTCGGTGACTGGCATATTTATTGGAGTTGCCGTCGCTCAGCTTCAGCTCTATTGGCGCATCGAGAAACGCTGCAGCGAACTCTTTGTGTGCGCGCTGTAGTTTCGACTTCGTAAGGTCGTCCATCAACTCGGGTTTGCGTAGCAATCTTACTTGTTCGGACATTGCTTTTCGTTGCGCGCGCAGCGGTCTGACCGCTTTGCTACGCTTGCATGCTTATATATATGCATGCCTATGTATATATATATATATATATATATATATATATATATATAGCCGTGCTTATATATACGGAGGCATTGGTA